CTTGAGTTGTGGGGATTGAACCACAGCAACCTGAGCCTGACCGCTTTGTTGAAGCAGTCACTTAAAGAACTGAGCTACGGGGCAGGCCCCCATAGAATTTGGTATGTAGAGAAAGGGTATCAGTGTAAAATACAATTTTACATAACATTTTTCCTTTAGTTCTTACCCGTGGATCAGTATCTTCTTCCTCCTCATCAGGGTTATAAGCTTCCGCACACACTAAAAGTGGAGAGAAAATATGAGAAAAATAAATTTAAGAAATATGTGGTTTTAAGAAAATAGGAAGTAAACACAATTTTCTTCTATTCACTATTCTCTAAAGCTGTAACAATCTTTCAAAATTCCTCTTTCAATTAGTAAATACTGTATGCTAAGTATCTATTAGTGTCAGACATTCTCTTAGATCTTCAAAATCCAGCTCTGTGGAGATCATGATCCCCAACAGGAAACGGACAATGAGACAGCTCACCTGTTAAATCCTGTGAGAAGAAGTAAAAACAGAAAGATGCTTCCTCTATTGAATTCTACAGCAGGAGTAAAAACCACAAAGTACAATATATGTAACATAAACACAAGGGATATGGATGTAATCACCAAAGGAATTGATTAAAATAGTACAAAATCATATGCATGTAAATTTTTTAATTAATTTTCTTTTTCTTAAAGATTTGCCAATGTTACTTAGGCTAGCCTCTAATTCCTGGTCTCAAATGATCCTCCTTCAACCTCCTGAGTAGCTAGCTGGGACTGTAGATATTGCTACTGTGCAGGGATAAAGATTACTTTGAAAACAAAACAAAACAAATACTATATGTTAGGTGTTATTTCAGCTACAATATTATACAAAACTAATCAACCTGTCCTATACAATCATTTTTAATGGCTGGAGATTGTCTTGATTTGAATATAGCGTAATTTAGCCCCTGCTAGTGTCCTCTTTAGGACTACTTAGGTTGTTCAGATTTTTACTAGTAGAACACTGTAATTATCTTCATTTGTACACCACCCTTAGGAAGTCTCCTTAGGGTGAAGTCTCCCTTGGGAGACAGCTAAAGCTTCTGACAGCTATGGTGAGGTATTCCTTCTCACTATGCCCTCTACCAGTGCTGCTCTCAATCTGTTTGGTAACACACAGCACATTTTTTTGTAATTTTGTTATTTTTCCTTGTAGCTACACTGTACCTATGTTTGTGCCAGCTGTCTCCAGGATTTCTTACCCTGGTCATAATTCAAAGATTTCAAAAATAGTCATTACAACATTATTTATAACAGTAAAATATCAGAAATGTCAGAGTTGAATGTGATGCTGTTTGGCTTCCCTGTAATCTGGGAAACTGAGACATGGGAGATTGGAAGTTTGAACCCAATCTGGGCAAATTAGTGATTTAGTGAGATCTTCTCTCAAAATAAATAATAAAAGGCTGAAAATGCAATTCAATATAAAGACCCTGGTTCAATTCCCAGCACTAGGAGAAAAAAAAAGGAAAGAAAAGATAATGAAATGTCAATACTAATAAAAATAATGCAGCTATTAGAAAACAAAAAAAGATTTAGGGAGATGCAGGGGTTGGGGATTTGACCACTGGCCTGCCAAGCCGGCCCTGCCCCTGGGGCACACTGAGAAGGCAACTGAGACTGGGCGTGGTGATGCATGCCTGTAATCCCAGAGCTTGGGAAGTTAAAAAACAGGACGATTCATTACAAGTGCAATCTATTTAGTGAGACCCTGTAGACTCTGTACTAAACACATTTTTAAAAAAAGAGAGCTACGTGTGATAGCACACACTTCTAATCACAGCAATTGAGAAGTTGAAGCAGAAGGAGAGGTCAAGGCTAGCCTGGGCTCCATAGTGAGCTTTAGGCCAGCATGCACTACAGAGCAAGACCCTGGATGGACGGATGGGTGGATGGATGGATGGTTTCTGTGGACTAGTAGAAAGAGTTCTAGGGAAAAGCAAGTGTAGAAGAGTATTCATAGTATTCTTTTTTTTTTTTTTTTTTCCATAGTATGTTGTCATAGGAAAAAGGTGAGACTGGAGCTAACGAATGTATAGCATAAATATATGTACATATTATTTACTAAGTTTTCTACATTATTTATTAATTTTGGAGGGATCTCAGATGCAAAACCCAGGAAGTAATGAAATTGTTTCCCTAGTGGGTAGTGAGAAACAAGAAAGGATAGCAAAAGGGAACAGACCTTTCTAAGGAAACTCTTTTACAAAGTATTGACATTTAGGCCATGTCAATATTTCCCATATTTTATAAATTAAATTGATGGAGATGGGGGGGGGCTCTGAAAACTTAACACGAGATTATAAATAAATCTAACTGGTGCATCCTGGGTCGGTGCAGCCATGGCGGCCCGTGTCCTTTCCTCCTGTGTCCGCCGCCTGCCCTCAGCGTTCGCGCCGCCGCCCCGGGTTCCCACGCTGGCCCTGGCCCGGACGCTGGGCACTGCGTTGTGTCCCGCGGGGACCCAGATGAGGCCCGGGGCGGCGCAGCCAGCCTCGTTGCTCGCACAGGTGCCCGGGAGGGTCCCACTGCTGTGCCGCCAGTACAGCGA